TAGCTCTGGGTTATAACCCACCGTTTCCGTTTAACCTCAGGTATAAATAGCTCCTAATTTTATGTAAAGATCATCTTGTTCAGTAATAAATTACTTATACACAACAACGTATACCGGACCTAACAATTATGTTATCATATAAATTCAGAGAAAATTTTTCTCCGATAGATCAGTCTATTATAAGTGATCACTTTTACGTCGTGTTCGAATAAGTGAAACTTTAAGAGGCTTATAATTCGGAACAAAGTGGTAGTGAGAGATAATCTATATAAAAAAGAATAAAAATGATTAAACGACTGCTGTCATCCATAGTGTATCTTCTTGAGATAGAGCTATCTATAATCAATGAATAAGAGTGTCAAATGATGAATAATAACTACTCATCCATTGCCGTTATATTCATCATTGTATAATGAAACATTCGTGCCTATATAATCCACGTACTAGTTCAGTTCGATGAAACTTTGATACTTTTTTCTTTCTATGCACAGATATAAAGCTTGAAATGGAGAAAAGAACGAATTTTATCATTTTATCGAAAAGAAGGATTGCACTCACTATGAAATAAGTGTTTATTCCGGCAACTTCCCAGATTAAAAAGTTAACAAATTTGAAAGTACCCCTCTCCAGTTTTTCTAGCAGTTTGAAATACAGAAGTTGTACTCTATGCCGAGCTGTTTTTTAGAAAAGCGAACAGTCTACTTTTTGAGATACAGAGCTGCCAATGTCGCTGCCAGTGCACCTTCTGTGCGCATATAGAATCGATATAAAGCAAGAAACGAAGAAAAGAACAAAGGACGGGGGACGGTAACAGGTAAAATCGGCCCACGCTCAAGTCAGTCTTATGTTAACTCATCTGATGCAGCTTTTGTCCACAATTAACACTAACATATTTCTAAATCTTAAAAAACCGTGTGAAAAAATGTATGTTTTCTTCAGGTATCAAGCGTACTCTATGATCCGCTAATAGTTGTGTTCTTTCAAAAAGATTTTAAGACTTAATCGCTTACGTGACATGCTACATAGACAAGCCGACAAAAAAGCATACAGCCTTGTTTAGGAATTGGTCAAATACTATTTTATTATTAAGTTTTTAAAGCTGAATATGAAAAGAATTGTCTGAAGGCTTCAAAACAATCAAGAGCCGAGATATCAAAGATTTTTTGAACTTGAAGGATTTTTCGAGTTCTTAAACCCTTCACGTATTTTCAAGTTTATATATGAAAAAAACGATATGAAAAAAAATATTTTGAAAAATTAAGAAACCCAAGTAACAAAAGACGGCTAAAAAGTGGTGTCCGTTCTTAGCCTCGGACAGGTGACCAAATCCCAAAAAGGTGTGAACAAAGTGCCACTTTTGGACGGGATGACGACGTCCGGATGCCGCAGAAAAGGACGGATGAGGACGCCTGTCCGGACTAATGTTGTGCTTATACGCTTGTCGCGTTTTATTATTTTAAATCAACATTATCGCACACCATCAAGATGACCGTCCCGACGCCCATCTTAAGCAACATATTCGGTAGTGGAACACGACAACCTATCTGCGAGTATGACTGAGGCCCGCAAAGTGCCACTTTGCGCAGAGCAGTGGCGTCCAGTCATGATAAGTAGCCTTGATCAGTATGGTAAAGACTATGTTCAAGAAAAACCTTTTATTAGATGGACCCCCCGTGGGCCAGTCAGTCCGGTCCATGGATCGGGCTGGGCTGAGAAGTTTATAAAGTAAATGCCATGGGCTAGGTCGATGAAGGGGAGATAGCCCATGGCCCACTTTTCCCGGCCTGTTCGGAGCCGTGCAACTTGGCATTCGAAAACAATTTACGGGTAATCCTCTACAGACTGGCACCATTAAGAAGTGGTACATCTGCGAGCTGAAAAGAGAAGAGATCGTCAAGTGTAGAAACAAAAGTGGATTTTAAATGTAATAAATGCTATCGGCAGCTCAAAGTGTCCGCTACAAATCTGCGTAAGTCCGAGACGGTTAGTTACTATGATTCGAGAGATACACCCATGTTGACCTGTCTCTGTTTGATTATAGTAAACAGCATAAAAGCATAGATAGTCAAATCTTAAGCTACTTTCGGTCGATTGTTGATCATCAGGAATAATTAACCTTACTTCTGAAGTAATTAAAACTAGCACATACCTTAGTTAAATTTTTTTTTGATTAAATAATCTCTAAATATACATATATAATACAAGCCGAAATATTAAACGAAAAATGTACGACGAACGATACACTTAACCCTTTTGGGACAGGATTATTCTTTCGAAAAAGAAGCCGGATAGAACGGCAAATCTGCCGCCTCTCCGAAATTTTTTGACATAGCCAGCGTGAAAGAGCGCATTTTCCTGCATAGGTTTCCACAATTGGTATAGCATTTTATTGAAATTGTCCATGTAGAAATGGGAGAGTTTCGAAAGGCCCGATACTTGTCCACGGAGGAGATGGTCACTGTATAGTGTTTTTGAAATATATGATGCGCTTTAACTTTCCGCGATGGTTAATCCTATGGTTGGATGCAGCTTTCTTTCCTCTACAAAACCCCATTAGACACTTAACCCTTTCAGGACCAACTTATCCCTTTCAGAGCCAACTTATTTTGAGCAAAAATTACAAATTTTTCAAGTTTTCAAGAATGATTTATTTTTTAAAGATTCATCTAACCCTCTAGCCATATCTAGAATGAAACTGATAAAGCACAAAAGAGTAAAACAAGCAGACGCAATGTATACTTCAAAGAGAAGCGAAAGAAATTCGAATTCTCACGCGTCAGATCACGTGAAATTTCAATGACGTTTTAAAACGTCACAGGTCTTAAGGATACCTTCCCCCATCTTTTTTGTGAAAATTTCGAATTTTGAGCTGAGCATAGCCTGATGAACATATGATCTCCATACCTCATCATATCATAACGTGTGTTGTGAGCAAAAGGAAAAAACGTATACAGTAAAAGCATCTCGCGTAAAAGAAGACCTATCACTTAACATCTCCTAACAAACTCCTCGAATCGCACCACTCATTAGTCAAATAAATTGTTCATTTATAGCGCAATCCTAGCCGAGAAGGATTGTTATTATATCCCGTTTTGAAAGTCAGTTTCGCCAAAGATTTTGATTGATATAAAACAAACGAGGCAAAATGAAGAGGAAATATAAATGTTCAACACGGTTGTGTACTTCTGACATACTTAGAAACATGGTATCTGGATGCTAAACAATATTGTTTGCAGCAGACACATCAAATTCACTTGTGATCTTCATTCAAAACTCACATAACTAAAGCATACACATCCTGATTTCCAATGACAATAGGTTTCAAACATCTTCTAAACTATCATCAAACAGCAAATCAAAGCGTTATCGATTATTACAACGAAGTCATCAAATTGTGCAAACAAACAAACCTTCAGTGGATGAACGAACAAAAATTCATCATATAATATCTAATTTGAAACCGTCAGTCAAGTCAAAAGTTATAATGAAAGATCCAGTATCTCTTGAAGATTTTTTCCTGCAAGTAACTAACGGTACACAAGTCTGGATAAATGCCTTTATTCGATAAAATCGCCAAGAAGAAGCCGTTTTTGTTTTTATTTTTTTACTATCAATAGCTTTGATGCTGGCGCATGAGTTTTTAGGATTAAATAATTCGTAATGGATAGAAGAAAATAAAATAACTGATAGCTAGGTACAGAAAATGATTATCTAAAAGTAGAATCTACACACATCGAGTCTGTATATGCAAAATGTTTTTTTTAGAAAGTTCGATGATATGGTCATATTAATATCCTCCACTACCAGGATTACTGCCGCCAGGATATGTATCTGGCGTACGACCAATTATACCATCACGATTAAAATCAATATGAGTTGCATTTTCGATTTTACTTTCAGTACCTAAAAAAAAGTAAAGCATATTATCATATACTCACATGACGTAAATTTTTTTGATAAAAGAAACACGTGATTCATTTTTTAAAGCTAACTTTGGTCTTTGCTGATAGAGGAAAAGGGAAATGTGGATGCTGCTCTTGTTACTGATACGAATTAGACTATAATAGACGAACGAACACAGTATCGCTACGTTACAAGAGTAGCATCTATTTTTCGGAAATTTTGAGAGTTCATCTAGACGAATTTGTAGTAGTGGCAAGCCCGGAGTCTCAGTGTACGTGTAGCTTCAGCCCATCAAATTTTTCCAAAAATCTATCCGAGATAGAGCAAAGCTCAACCAGAAGAAACGCAAAAAGTCACGCACACAGAAATGGTCAAACTTCTTCGAAATGAATTCATAAATATATATCTGAAATTACTTTTTTGAACAAAAAAACAGAAACAAGAAAACTCTCCCAAAACTGCTATGACGGCGGTGTCTCAGCTTCCACCTCAACCCTTGTAAACTTTCGTACTTTTTTAATGAATCGATAATTTTCTACAGCAAAAGTACCATTCAGATCAAAATTCATCATCAGGTCATAACAAAGAAGTTATTTTGTCTTCTCTCAATATTCGTCGGCACACACTAACCTTCTCCTCCAATATATCCATCCCGATTTAAATCGGTTCCTTCAGCTTTTTCAATTTGATTGTTTATAATGCTGCCTTTGAGAAGAAAAGAAAACAAAGCAAATAAGCAAGATAGTTAGAAAATTGAGAAAATGATGAAATGTGTTGAGAAAATTTGATTTCAAAAATTGTGTAACATTCATAGAGAAACATAGAAGACTTACTCATGTTGTTGTTATTTTTTTCTTAACTTAATAATGTAATATAATTATAATATGTATATGTAATATAATGTAACTAATCCATGTACAGTTACTTTTATAGCTTTAAGGGGGGGGGGGGGGGGGGGGGGGGGGGGGGGGGGGGGGGGGGGGGGGGGGGGGGGGGGGGGGGGGGGGGGGGGGGGGGGGGGGGGGGGGGGGGGGGGGGGGG